CTCTCTCTCTCTCTCTCTCTCTCTCTCTCTCTCTCACTTAGTTTGTCTCTCTTTCACTCACAAACACACACATAGTCTTTGTCTTTAACATCGCTTTCCATTAATATATCGTTGAAACGAAGCGTAAATCTTATGAAAAAAGTCTACATTTTCACTGTTTATCTATTCCTATAATATTGACATATAATCTAATATAAGTTATAATGTCTTATATTATTGTTTCTCTTTTTATCGCAAAGTCTATAAATCGATTCGTATATTGTTTTTAAAGCTACAAAAACATAGGTATTATCGACCAAATGTTTACCACTCATACGCCTATTGTCTATCTAAATGTTCACTCATTATAAAATCATTTATTTTACATAATCCCGGAATTTAATAAATGGTTATTTTTGTCAATACATTATAATCCGTATAATCAATACATTATTTAAGGCAATAAACAACATTGAAATTTGTGCACTAAATTGGTTTACATATAAGAAAAATAAAACAAACTTTATTTTATGGACATTTGGGATACATATGGTTACGACTCATTAGACAATAAATGATTGAATGATTATATGGAGAGAGAGAGAGAGAGAGAGAGAGAGAGAGAGAGAGAGAGTCCATTATCCAATAAACTTAGTGATGGAGCAATCAATCAGTTTTTTTGCATTAAAATCGAAACCAAGTATTTTATGAAACAATTCTCAAATAAGTTCATCTCTTTTTATTTATAGACATTAAACATAAAATTGATTTTTATTTAATGCATATCTTTATGTATTTTAGTGCTATTTATATCGATTATACAGTTTATACAACTCATATGAATTTTTCGATGTACTTTAATCGTATTGACTGCCCGTATAGTAGTTTTGTAAATATAATTTATATTAATGTTTAATCGATGGAAGAATTGGAGTAATTTACACATAAAACAGGTGATCATGGTCAATTCACATGCTTAATTTTAATTAAAATTATAAACTGTATTATTCAGTTTCTATATTTAACTAATATGGTTAAGTAAACTATACAATTGGACAATGCAAAATGTATAGTTATTTATACACTTTTTTAGCACATGATAGAATGGATAAAAACAAGTTTACCACTATATCTGGGAATTTAATTAACACAAAATCCAATTAAGATAATAGTATGTGAGAGAGAAATAGTGAGTCCGTAAATATATAGTGCCATTTGAAACGACCAATTGTTACACATGAATACAACTTAAGGCTTATTATTAGCTTAAGAAATAACGGATACACTCTTCCGATTCTCTCTCTCTCTCTCTCTCTCTCTCTCTCTCTCTCTCTCTCTGGCTATATGTTTGGCTTTTGAATTTATTTCACTCTTTATATCCCATATATTATACGACATTTGCTGTCAAAGAGACCGAATCAAGAAAACGGTCTAAACATGGGATCAAATGACAAAAGCAAATAAATCTCTGTTTTTGATTTGTAATATTACTTGAAATCCAAAGACATAACGTTTGATATAAGAATTTTCAGCTCTTTTTTCTTGTTTTGTTTCGTACTATAAATTTAATAATTATTTCATTTTGAGAGTCCATTTCATTCAAGAATATTCTTGACATTCAAAGCCATGACATGCGAGCGAAACATATTTTAATGACAGACGAAAAATATTTAGTTTAAAATTGCAAAACATTTTTTATCACTTGATTTTCTTCAGGCATTTTGCGAGCGACTGAATGATGTCTTCATAACAAATATTCCCGATATTATAGCCATAAAAAAGTGGATCCGTTTTTTAGTGATGTGTTTAACTCCAGCATTGAATTTAATAAATAAAATACTGAATAAATTGCTCGACAAATAAAATAAGATTCGGGCAATAGTTATATGGTTTTAAATCCATACGTATTATAACAGAGTCTATAACTAAATGTTATATTGAAAAATACTGTCAAAAACCCTAAAGTAATAAAACGAAAAAAGAGATAAAAGTTATAAAATATTGATATAAAATTGACACATTTTAAAGATTAAATTTTCACTACTTTATTGCGATTATGGCATTCAATTTGCATCAGGGATAATTTGATAATGCTGTCATTAAAATATGTTATTGGCAATAACATATTGCCTAAACCATAATTAAACTAAATTATAATTTATAATATAAAATAAAAATGAATTATCATATAATTTTTATTATTATTTCATGATAAAATTCAAGTACAGTATTATTAATATTAATATTACTCTAGATCTACAACCGGCATTGAATGTACCCAGGAACATTCAATGCATTGAGTTTACATAGAGAATTGGTTGAAATTATGAGTAATTGCCGGTTTATGCTCTAGATATTAATGAATTGCAATGAATATAATGATGTTAATATTGCAGATTACCGCAGATCTACTGCAACCACACAGCACTCACCCGAGCCTTTCATAACCGAAATGAGTTGACCGATCAGGAAATGGCGGATATGTTTGTACAGCAAAAAGTAGACGCAATCATATATATTATTGTAAGTCTTTTCTTTCGGTCCTATGAATGGACAAAACGGATCTTTCAATTAATTGTATTATATTTCGATACAAATTACATACACTTTTGTGTTAAGCAAACAAAATAAAAGTCACGTTTAGTCGCTGAGCGATAAAAAACATTACTTTTTGAACAATATATCAAATTATTGTTTCACTGGTTTATTATAACTCGTATATTATATTTGTTATAATAATAATCCTTTCAGTGATATCTCTACTTTCGTTTCATTTACTTCTCTCTCTCTCTCTCTCTCTCTCTCTCTCCTCTAATAGTGTTTAAGATTTAGATTAGTTTTGAAGTTAATTAGAGTTGAGATTAATTTGAAAATGTGTATGAATTGTTGTCTATTTGGCCTTATTTTTAGGGTTTTGTTAACAAAACCAAATTTTACAAATAAATACCCCTAATGTTTAAAATACTTTTATATACCACTCATTAAATATTAAACTCAAATATTATTATAATAGATATTAATCTAAATTGTTTTATAGTTTCAATTTAAACGAACAAAACTAATGATTATTTTGTGTAGATTTCAATTTAATTCAAAATTCTTAAGTGTTTCTCAACTCATTATAAGTGGTATTAATTCTAATAAAAATATATATATTGTGGAGAAAAATCATTTCAATGCATAACATAATAGAAAATATGTTATTAAACGAAACATTAGACACACTGTTATACAACATTGAATACCTGTCCAGTATTTTTCAGTAACTTTATTATAACGAGAAAAATGTTTCCTATTTTCGTCTTTCAATTAATTTGGTGAACCTTTTTAATTGAATTACTTTTATTTTGGTTATAATTACTATTAATAAAACAATGTTAAGAAGCATTTAATAAGAAATTGGTTGCTTTGAAGGTTCAATTATCCCACAAAACTATTTGTAGGGTTGGGTCACAACGAGAGTCTGTGTTTTTGCTGTCATTTGCATCGTTTATACAACACAACAATAACCCAATGTTTAGTATGAAATTCAATTAATTTTTTGTTCACTTTGTAATTATAAATATCCATTAAATGCCAATTATTATTGATTATTAACAATATATTTAGCGCTCATCGCAAATAGTGGTAGTCTTTTGTTCAGTTTATAAAAAAATAAGTTTCAAATAATAATAGATTTTTATATTTGTTTCAAACATTTTTTGGGGAGAAAATTGCATTAAAATTAATTCTGACTTAATTTACACGTTTTTACACACGTTTTTCTCACATAATTATCTCTCTAATTGTTTTGAATAATCTATAAATATTGGCAATAAATTGATTATCAATAAACTTGTTAATTAATATTTGGGCAATAAGTTAGAAAAATATCAATTGTTATGCAACACAAAGTACCAGTTGTTGATCCCATCGCTTATTAACAACAAAATTAATTTCTCCACATATTGTTAAACATGAAAATAAATTTCTATATTTGAGTATAAATTATAAATAATTAAAAAATAAGAAATACTTTAAAAGAAAATTTAATTATAAAGAACGGCATAATTAAAACATATATTTTTTCCTCTCAACTAATGTTTATTCATTAATTCAAAGGCAATAAATTAGTCTAACATTGAAATTGAAAAATAACTTTAAGAATACGTAATGAAAATAACATTTAAAAAGGTTTATCGATATTATTATGAATAACGAGTTTTTTAAGTCAATGATTTGCAATTAGATAACAAAAGAGTTTTTTATTAAACAAATAATAAACAAGAATAAAAATTACAGAAAATTAAATTTATTGTTAAAACAATTTTTTAGATAATAATAACAAAAACTAATTTAGGAAAATAAGTCAAATCGTGTATATTATGTGTTTATCTAAATGTAAAATAGTATTCATTGTATAGAAATTCAATACAAATAATTAGTAAATTGTATTCATTGAACCATATATTGAATGCGAGTATAATTTCATCTCTATTTATATTTAAATGAATATTTTATGACTAATTCTAAAGGATTTTTGACGATTAAATGGGAACTAATTATAGGAATTTGTAAAAAACAAGTTTTAATGATTAGACATAACTATACCGTCAATTGTCTACCAAATTATATGCCTATTAATCATTGAATCGTGATTTTAAACAAACATTTCATTTAAACTTAAACCCAATTTTGAGGAATTTTGTCGAGACATCGACCAGAATATGAAATGGGATTCAATAATAATTTGTATGTTATATAAAATGTGCGATAATTTGAATAAAAAATCGCTAATATTTGTATGACTTAATGAAGAGAGATTTAAAAGCATTAATGTAATAATATTATTACTGTATTATTATTTTTTAAGTTTAATTTTATACTAAACATAATGATTTAATTTAGATTATATTTTATTATATAACTTATACAGTATATGATATATAAAACATTTGTCAAATTAGCAGAACTCTCCCAATAAATGTAATAATCATGTTATCAACGCTAATGCTTACCATACGATCGCTCTGTTAATAAACTTATTCAGGTATTTGCCATAAGATTAAGATTAATAGTCTTTCCAATAATTATCGGTTCAATAAAATCATTATT